TGATTCGAGAAGAAATGGAAAATCTGAATAGACCTATAAAGAGTAAATAAATTATAGATTAGTAATTGAAAACACTTTTTACAAAGAAAAGCCCAGGCACGGTAAAAGGATCAGTTATGCACCATAATCAGGTGGACTTTATTGGGTTGGCCAAAAAGTTCGTTTGGGTTTTTTCCATAAGACGTTACAGAAAAACCCGAACGAACTTTTTGGCCAACCCAATATCTCAGACTGTTAGGTTGGTTTAACATTGAAAATCAGTTAATGTACTACATATATCAATAGGTAAAGGACAGACACCAGATGATCATCTCAAGAGATGTAGAAAAAGCATCTGACAAACGCTAACACCTCTTCATGATAAAAGCACTCAATACGCTAGGAACAGAAGGAAATTTCCCCAACCTAATAAAGGGCATCTATGAAAAACCCACAGCTCCCGCCATACTCAATGGTTGAGAAATTGAATGCTTTCCTTCGAAGATCAGGAACAAGACAAGGATGTCCACCCCTTCTATTCAATATTGTACTGAAGGTACTGGGCAGTTAGACAAGGAAAAGAAAGAAAAGGCATCCAGATTTTGAAGGAAGAAGTAAAATTATCTTTATTTGCAGATGATGTGATCTTATATATGAAAATTCAAAAGTATTAGAGATAATAAAGGAGTTCAACAAAGTCGAAAGATACAAGTTGAATATACAAAAGTCAGTTGTATTTCTGTACACTAGAAATGAACAATCTGAAAATGAAATTAAGAAAACAGTTCCAGTCGCTGGCTCGCAACTTTGGGGAGTTTCAAGCAGCCGCAGCGACGGCAGCAACCCTGGACGCAGGAAACGTCTGGTCCAGCTCTGGTAGTGAGAGGCCCTGAGATCCCAGAGGTACCATATGAGAAGTCTGGAATGTGTTGGGGACTTGGCTTCCTGCAAACATTGGTTAAGAATCCGCCTGCCAATGCAGGGGACACGGGTTCTATCCTTGGTCCGGGAGGATCCCACATGCCGCAGAACAACTAAGCCCATATGTCACAACTACTGAGCCTGCGCTCTAGAGCCCGTGAGCCACAACTACTGAGCTCACATGCTGCAACTACTGAAGCACACGCGCCTAGAGCCCGTGCTCCGCAATGAGAGGCCACCGCAATGAGAAGCCTGTGCACCACAACAAAGAGTAGCTCCCGCTCGCCGCAACTAGAGAAAGCCTGCGCGCAGCAACGAAGACCCAACGCAACCAGAAATAAATAAATAAAATTGATTCTTTAAAAAAAAAAAAATGTAACTTTGTTTGAATTACTCCAAAGTTGATATCTTCTTCAAAAATAATAAAGAAGAAATATTGCAAAATTAAAAAAAGGAAAACAATTCCATTTATAATAGCATAAAAATAATAAAATATTTAGGAATAGATTGAATAAAAGAAGTATAAAATGTATACTCTGAAAATTACAAAACAGTTAAAATTAAAGAAGACATAAATAAGTGGAAGAACATCTTTTGTTCATGGATTTGAAGATTTAATCTTGCTAAGATGACAATACTCCCTCAATTCACCTACAGCTTCAGTGAAATCCCTATCAAAATCCAGGCTGGCTTTTTTGTAGAAATTGACAAGCTGATCCTAAAATTCATATGACAGTTGAACAGATCCAGAATAGCCAAAACAGTCTTGAAAAAGAACAAAGTTTGAGCACTCATACCTCCCAGTTTCAAAGCTTACCACAAAGCTATGGTAATTACTGTGGTCTGAATGTTTGTGTCCCCCTCAAATTCATAGGTTGAAACCCTAACCCCCTAAAGTGATAGTATTAGTAGGTGGGGCCTTTGGGGCAGGTATTTAAGTCATGAGGGTAGAATCCTAATGAGTAGGATTAATGCCTTATAACAGAGATGCCAGAGAGATTCCTAGCCCCTTCTGCTCTGTATAAATAAAACGAGAAGTCTGCAAACTGGAGGAAAGCCTTCACCCAACCATGCAGGTACCCTGATCTTGGACTTCCAGCCTCCAGAACAGTAAGAAATAAATGTTTGTTGTTTATAAGCTACCCAGTCCCATAGTATTTTGTTATAGCAGACCAAATGGACTAAGACAGTAATCAAGACAGAGTGGTCATGGCATGAGGAGAGACCTGTAGATCGATGGAATAGAATTGAGTGACCACAGATAAGCTCTCACATTTACAGTGAATTGATTTCCAACAAGGGTGTCAAGATAATTCAATGGGGAAAGAATAGGCTCTTTTTTTTTTTTTTTAAGAATAGGCTTTTTAACAAATGTTGCTGATACAGCTGGATATCCACTTGCAAAGGAATGAAGTCGGACCCCTTCTTCACATCAAATACAAGAACGAACTCAAAATAGATCATAGACCTAAATGTCTATTTAAGAGCTAAAATTATAAAAGAAAGCTAAAAGTATAAAACCCTTAGAAGAAAATATAGGAGTAAATCTTTGAGACTTTTGGTTAGGCAAAGTCTTACTAGACATGACACCCAAAGCACAACCAACCAAAGAAAATAGATGCATTGGACTTGATCAAAATTAAAAACTTTGGTGTTTCTAACAAAGTATAAAGCCAGCCCGCAGAGTAGGAGAATATTTGCAAATCACATATCTGATAAGGATATTTTATCTATAGATACGTAGATATTTATATACAGTTGTCTCTTGGTATCTGCTGGGGATTGGTTCCAGGACCACCACCCCCACCCCGACGGATACTGAAATCCACGGATGCTCAAGTGCCTTATATAAAATGGCATAGTATTTGCATATAATCTATGCATATCCTCCCATATACTTTAAATCATCTCTAGATTACTTATAATACCTGATACAATGTAAATACTATATAAATAGTTGCCCGGGGTACAGCAAATTCAGTTTGCTTTTTTGGGACTTTCTGGAATTAAAAAAATATATTTTTTCATTTCATGGTTGGTTGAATCCATGGATGTGGAACGTGTGACATGGAGTGGTGGCGGGGTGCAACTGAATATAGATATCTATAGATAAGGGTATTTAGAATATACAAAGAATTCTCACAACTCAATAATAAAAAGGCAAATAGCCCAATTTAAAAATGGGCAAAAAAAAAAATCTAAATAGAAATTTCTCCAAAGAAGATATATCAATAGCTAATAAAGCACGCAAAAGGATGCTCAAAGTCATTAGTCATCAGAGAGATGAAAATTAGAACCACAGAGATATAAAACCACGGAGACCGACAATAACAAGTATTAGTGAAGATGGGGAGAAACTGGAACCCTCATACGCTGCTGGTGGGAATTTAAAATGGTGCAGATGCTGTGGGAAACATTCTGCCAGTTCCTAAAAATGTTAAACGTATAACTCAGCAACTTCATTCATAGGTTTACAAGAGAAATAAAAATATAAGTCTACACAACAACCTGGACAGCGTTATTCACAATAGCCAGAAAGTAGGAACAAGCCAAATGCCCATCACCTGAGAAGTCGATAAAGAAAATATGGTATATCTATACAATAGAATATCACTCAGTCATGAGAAGGATTGAAGAACTGATTCATGCTACAACATGGATGAACTTTAAAAACATGTTAAGTGAAAGAAGCCAGTCACAAAATACCACATATTCTATGATTCCATTTATGTGAAATGTCCAGGAGAATCCAGAGACATAAAGTAGATTAGTGGTTGCTAGGACTGGTGGGGTTTGAGGTTAAATAAAGAGGGATTGCTGATGGGTACAGGATTTCTTTCTTGGGGATGATGAAAATGTTCTAAGTTGATTGTGCTGATGGTTATACACCCCAGTGAGTATGTTACAAACCAATGAATTATACACTTCAAATGGATGAATTGTATAGTGTATGAATTATATCTTGATAAAAATTGTTATATAAAAAATACTAAGTGAAAAGTTTGCAGAACAACATATAATATGAATATATTTTTGTGAAATAGTATAAGTTCATAATAAAACACTATATTCTTAAAAATTAGCAAAATTTGTGAGTTTGCGTAAGTGTAAGAGACATTAGTGATATAGTAGCTTTAATCATGTAACAAATCTGGTGACAAGATTTCTTACCAGTAATCGATACCCCCTCATTAATAAAATACTAACAACACTTAGTATTTATTGCATTCTTTCTGTATGCCAACATTGTGCGAAATTCTTATCATGCATTTTGTCTTTGTTTTTCACAACACTTGATGATGGCCCCGTATTTTCTGTAACTCTCCCCTTTCTTTCTCCAACATACCAAAGTTTACATTTACAAAATTGTATTATTTATCAAAATATCAAAAATGGACAGTTCCTTTTATTGTTAGCAGTAGCTATGAAGGTAAATACTGTAGGTCTTAATTGGAATTGGTATTAATGTGATCCTGTGAGTTTTAAGAGCACATTGATAAATCCATCTGCATGTGTTTAAAGATTTTAAGTTTAAACTAAAACATTTTGCATTTGTTATAGTTGATGCCCAATGGAAGGAGAAAAGACTTTTTGTTACTCGTCAGCTTTTTGTTTAATGTAATGCTAAATTTGAAAGACAGTCTATGGCAAAGATAATTTTGAGGGTTTTTTTCCCCATTGCAAATATAGGCTAGTGCCTCAGTCAGTTTGGGCCGCTATAACAAAATTCCATGGACTGGTGGCTTAAACAACAAACATTTATTCCTTGTAGTTCTGGAGGCTGGAAAAGCCGCAGATCAAGGTGCTGACAGATTAGATTCTTGGGGAGGGCCCTCTTCCTGCATTCTTTCTTGCTGTGAGAACAAGCTCTGTGGTCTCTTTTTTATAGGGGCACTAATCCCATCATGAAAGCCCCATCCCCATGACCTCATCTAAACCTAAGCACTTCTCAAAGACCCCACCTTTAAAAACATCACATTGCAGGCTAGAGCTTCATCATATGAATTTTGGGTGGGGATACGATTCCGTCCATAGCAACTAACTACGATGGAAATCTTGTCCATAAGTGCTAACCCTAGCATTTTTTTGTTTGTGTTTAGTATTATGTGCCAAGAACCTTGCAAAGAAAGACTTCTTCAGTAAGTAAAACACCCATTTTTGCTCTCTTACAATATTAATGTTCTTCACATATTTCTGAAATTTAAAACTTAAAAAAAAAAGCAACCCTGGGAGTATTCTCCTAAAAGTCCTGCCCTTTGCTGACTAGAAATCCACAGTTTGACAAGCTTCCTTTCCCAGTTGACTACCACATAGAGACTCCATAGCTCCAAGGCACAGAATTTATAACTCATACGAGAACAACTCTCTCATTCCCTATTCCAGCCACCACCCTGTTTTCTGTCTTTCCATCCATTAATGTATTGCTTTCTGCTGGGTGACGTATCCTCAGCTCCAATACAGACATTTTTCTATAAAACGTCTGGGTTTGAGTAAAATTGTTGGTCAAATTTGATCAATTAAATCACACTTTAAAAGCCTTGTAATTAAAGGAATTGTAATAAAAATATAAATGGAGGATCCTTTTCTAAAGGAAGGAATCACCTCATAAGAAGTTCACCTGCTATAAAGTAGGCCCCTGCAGCATGATATTTTTCACACTCTTTCTGATCCTCACAAGAATGCTGCTCCGTTCCTAAGTGGTTCATCTCATGCTTTAAAGGTAAAGAGACTTAGGTTCGCAGGCTCTATTCAAGTAGCTAAGAAGCTCCAGAGTGATGGCTCACGTCCAGGTCTATCTCTAAAACCCTTACCTGGCCGCCTCTCTGATCTCATAAACCTGTCTGAGTCATACTCCAGCATTTAGCAACTTACCTAAGTAAAACCCGGTGAATACTTGCTTCCAGAGATAAAACAGATGAAGACCAGTGAACAAGATTTCTAGGCGTTATTATTTTTTAGAAAGTATAAATGTAAGTAATTGTAGACACCTTTCCCCCCATTTAGCTAGCCCTACTGAGCGACCACCAGAAGTGGGAATTTGAATTTAAGCCTATATTCAGAGTTTTCATTTCTAGCCTCTAAAAATCTGAGGAGGATGTCATTCTGGGTTGTCTTTCTTAGAAAGCTTAATGGAAAGAATTTATTTTGCTGATTGAAACTAACCTTAAACTTGAGAAAAAAATATACCAGGGTAGTCTTCTTAATCAAATAGATGACCTTGAAGCTCACTTTACTTGCAGGACTGGGTTCTGTCTTCTCATCCAGTGTGGCTGTCCCCTCTCCTCTAGGACTCCCTGACCCTTTTGCAAAGATCGTTGTGGATGGATCTGGGCAGTGCCACTCAACGGACACTGTGAAGAACACGTTGGACCCAAAGTGGAACCAGCACTACGATCTGTGAGTTGATTATCCTATAAGCCACTTGGGGAGCGGCAGGAAAGTTGGTATCTAACTTGTAAGAGAAGCATTTAATTTTTTTTTTTTAAAGGGATTATTAAACTTCTTACTGATAACAAACGTGGATGGCCAAACAAATACATACTGCCTACTTTTAGAATTCATATACTTGGAAGTTCTTGTGTTTGACATTTTCATATATTTTAATGGTTTGCTTCTGTAACTGTGGTCTTCAAACTTTCAATCTCCTGGCCATACTAACAGGAAAAAAGGGCCATAGTTCAGGTCCTCTATATGCTACTGTTTTTTTCAGCAAAACCCAGAACATGGTTGTAAAATGCATTATTTGAAATACATTATTATTATTATTTTTTTAGATGTTGGGGGTAGGAGTTTATTAATTAATTTATTTTTGCTGTGTTGGGTCTTCGTTTCTGTGCGAGGGCTTTCTCTAGTTGTGGCAAGCGGGGGCCACTCTTCATCGCAGTGCGCGGGCCTCTCACTATCGCGGCCTCTCTTGTTGCGGAGCACAGGCTCCAGATGCTCAGGCTCAGTAGTTGTGGCTCACGGGCCTAGTTGCTCCGCGGCATGTGGGATCCTCCCAGACCAGGGCTCGAACCCGTGTCCCCTGCATTAGCAGGCAGATTCTCAACCACTGCGCTACCAGGGAAGCCCCCATTATTATTATTTTACATATTTATGATACAAATATATAATATATATATTTCTGTTGATTTTTTAAAAATTTTGCTTTTTAGTACAAATATATTTTCTGCAAGAGAAAATAAAGTTTGGTATGACTGGAGGTATGTAAGCCCACACACCATCAGACGATTTCTTATATTCATTTGTTAAGTGGATCGCACTTTGAAAATCTATTTTTTAGGCACCTATGTTTTCATGTCCCTGCTAAGAAATTTTTGTCCAAGTAATGCTGAGTGATTGTTATTGGCTTTTTACTAACACAAATTGAACTGGGTTTGAGTGGGATTTTTAGTAGTTGGATCCTGAGGCTCATTTGCAGTTACACTGTGGCACTGGTAGTAGCCTGGAAAGTAGTTGTCAATCCATGTCCCAAAAGCTCCCTTCTGTGGTTGACCTACACTGAGAGAAAGCGGCAGGTTTCCTGTCTGAGTTAGTGCTCTTTTGTGTACTTTGGATGGATGTAAGTAGTCCTTTGTTGCAAATTAGTATTCTCTATTAAGCCTAATTGCTGGGGTTTTGTTTTTGTTTTTGTTTTTTTTTTTGGCCACACCATGCGGTATGCAGGATCTTAGTTCTCCGACCAGGGATCGAACCGGTGCCCCTGCAGTGGAAGTGCAGAGTCTTAACCACTGGACCGCCAGGGAAGTCCTGGTGGGAACTTTTGAATCCTGCCATTATCCTCTGGAACTATAAAAATATAGTAAATCTCTGTTATAAGATTATTATCATTATGTGGTTGTCTGCATGTGTTTCTTACATAACCAGTTGTAGTCCTTTCCCAGCCCATTGAGTTAGTAGATATATACTTATTAAGTGCCTGTTAGCTGTGGATATAGAGCAAAATTATTTTAAAAGGATTCTTCTGGACTAACAAGTCAATCAGATAAAATCTCAATGGGCTATCGCAATTGAGAAATACAATTAAAAATGAGTTTGCATGTTGGTTTCAGATATGTTGGGAAAACGGATTCTATAACCATCAGCGTGTGGAACCACAAGAAAATTCACAAGAAGCAGGGAGCTGGCTTCCTGGGGTGCGTGCGGCTGCTCTCCAATGCCATCAGCAGATTAAAAGATACTGGATGTAAGAACCCAACGTTTTTCTGCCTCTTAATGCAACTGAAGAAGGCTTATGGGGCATCATTTTTTATTTTATTTCTTTGAATACTGAATACAGAATTCCTGCCTTCCTCTCTAGCTAACATTTCCCTGGGTTAAGTTTTGAATTGTTTGTTTGCAGACCAGCGTTTGGATCTATGCAAACTAAACCCCTCAGATACTGATGCAGTTCGTGGCCAAATAGTGGGTAAGAACTTTCTCATCTGTATAAAGAGATAATTTTTACAGACTTAACCTTCAGCTCTTCATCACTGAGAAAACACATAAAGGCACTGACCGATGGTGACATACTTCGAAGGACAGGCCCCATACAGGGGCCATCTCTCCAGGACTAAACAATTTCATCTTATGTGGTTTTTATTATTTTATCTAATTCCCTTCATTCTGTCATTCAAGGTGGAGTTAAAATGACTAAGGTACAAAAAGATGTAGGGTTATAATTTGTAATGTAATTTTAATCATCACATGAGTTGACAATTTGTCATGTTATCCAAATGCAGATGATAAAAATGGTGGCCACATATGCAAGAGTTAAGAAATAGTTTCTTCAGGAGGACCCATCATATATGTAAAAGGCAAAGAGAATTTCTGAAGACTTCCATGTAATATGATTTTACAGAGGACTGACTTATTTAGAATGAAGAAATAAAATGTGCTCATGTCATAAAGCGTTGACTGGAGGTATTCCATTGGAAGTAATTTATCTGTTAAGTAGCTCATCCTGTTATCCATCCCATTTTTATTAGCATTTCAGGGTAACCCAAATATTGACTGTATGCATTGCAAGCAATCAAAGAAAACAGTATTTCAGCAGCACACCAGAGTGACTTATGGCCCCAAACCTTTTAGGTATTGTCTTATGTAGACCTGAGCCAAGATAAATGGACAGTGGATATCCATCTGAAAACTCCTGTCACGACAGAGTTCCCACTTACTGCCTTTCTATTTGTGATTTCTTCTTTTCTTTGTGGAGGGATGTGCCGGGGAAAAATGAATAACTGGAAGCAGCTTCATAAGTGTCTTTGTTGTTCATAGTATAGGGACAGAGAATCGACACGTAGGTGCATCCAGACCTTGCACATACTGACAGTGCTCTCTGTGTCCTTATTAAACATAAGTCAAAATCTTCTTAAAATATAAGGTACCTTGGAGGAAGTGAAATTGTGTTCTGTTATCTTGATGAAGAGCACAGACAACACAGCATCTCTTTCTGCTCCACGTTTACAAGGAGTGTTCCAAGTGGTATGCCTTCTGTGCAGCCAATGAGTGAGATGCTTCATACTTGAAAGCATAGGAATGTATATGTGTATGTATAGACATATGCCTCACTTTTTAAAATAATATCATACATAAATTACACATTTGCAATGGCTCACTGTGTTACAGTTGTATAAAATACCACTGGATTTTAATGCAGGATGTTCTTTTCTTTTTAGTCAGTTTACAGACACGAGACAGAATAGGCACTGGAGGGTCCGTGGTAGACTGCAGAGGGCTGTTAGAAAATGAAGGGTACGTATCACTGCAGCAATGCCCACTGAGTTCTCTGCTGCCCAGACTCTCGCACTGCATGAAAGTTTCCTTCACACCTTTTCAATGCGTTGAATACTTGAGGTGCAGTCTTGGGATAACACTGGGATCCAGTTTCCTCGTTTGTAAAGGAAGCTGTCAAAACTAGTGGGGTAGTGCCCCAAAGGCTCAGGATCCAATTTACAGAGGTTCCCGCTGGCCAAAGAGCATCAGTAAAGAATTATAACTGCAGTGGATTAAAGCAATCCATTGAGTTCATAATGATACAGGGAGAAATAAATTCTAAAAAACCCCCAAACCGAAAAACACCCTCAAAAATTCTCATTGGTCACTATCACAATTTTTCAATTCCCCAATGAGTTAACTATTAATGTCGTTAATACTTGCTGACAACATCATGAAAGAGGGATAATCTGACATGAACTTACATCTTGGAGGTCCAGGGGACGGGAATGGGTTGCACAGCCCCGGGGATAAGCTCCATCCAGAGGGGGGCACCCTGTAGAGTGTAGCAGACAACCTGGTGTCTTCAACAAATACACTGCAAGAAAAATAACTAAAAGGGAAGGAAGAGAACCTATAAGTTAATAAAAGAGATTTAAGGGACACACCTGTTAAACGCGGTGTATGGACCTCGTTTGGATCCTGATTAATGAGACAGTTGACTGGAGAAATTTGAACACTGACTGGTATTTGATGATATCAAAAAAATTAACGTACATTTTTGGGGTCATGATAATGGTAAAAGGCCTATCTTCCAGAGGTCTGTGCTGAAATATTTAAGGATGAAATGGTAAAATGTTGGGATTGGTTTCAGAATAATCCAGCTCAGGGGGGAGGAGTTGGGCGCGTGGCCACGAGACAATCACTGGAGCTGGGTGGTGAGCCCAGGGCATTCACTGAACTAGTCTCTCAATTTGTGTGTCTCTCTGTACTTTTTCAATGTAGAACGTTTTTCAGAAGTACTTGCTTATAAGGGAAGATAGCCTATTAAGGTAAATTGTCTCCACAGTTGTTCAGGGGATCAAGATTTATGTTAAAAGTCACTTTTAAAGTCATTGTGGTATTTTATGTAACCAGGAGTTCTATTATAGAATAAAATGACAAGGAAAATGGAATGTTCGGATATGATTCTGAGTCAAGAAAACTGAAATCTCACTTTCTGAGCTCCTTATAGAACGAGGTTGGTGTTTTCCAACCGTTTGCCTCTGCCTGAGGATGAAATCCCACGAGTGGCCTCAGTGGCACTTTACACATGGCTCCCTTTGGTCACGGGCTCCGCATGAAAAAGTCTGGCTTTCCAATTAAACAGGACAGGACGGATTATATGAAACTAAGCACTGGGGACATTCTATCATATTGCTCAAGAAAAGCAAAACAAATGGAAGTGAGAGCATGGCATGGAACTTACGGGTGCTTCTCAGTCTTCAGCCGGCATTGTGATGTGGGCTGTGGTCTTCCCCTTCTAGAACTGCGTACGAAGACTCAGGGCCGGGAAGGCCACTCAGCTGCTTCATGGAGGAACCAGCCCCTTACACGGATGGCACTGGGGCTGCTGCTGGCGGGGGTGGCTGCAGGTCTGTGGAATCCCCGAGTCAAGATCAAAGACTTCAGGCCCAGCGACTGCGAAGTCCTGAGGTCCGAGGGTCACTCCAGACGCCGCAGAACCGACCTCACGGCCACCAGTCCCCGGAACTGCCCGAAGGCTACGGTGAGAGCATCCACCCCGCTGTCCCGAGTGCGATCGGTGATGTTTCAGACAGCTTTAATGTTTTCAGCTTTTTTAGTGACTCGTACCTGCCAGAAGTGCTGATGTTTGCAGAGGTGTGCCCCACGATGGTTGTGTCAGTGTAAAGAAGAGTAACCCGAGATGGTTGACAAATCTTTCTTGTCATGAATTTGTCCGCAATGGCTCCAATCTCCCAGTGTAGCAGTTGTGTGAAGATTTTAGGCAAATGAATGTCAAAGAAAACCGAGAGGAGTGGGGCAGGGGCCTGGATGGGGGTATTTGTAGTGCCCTGGGATTTGAATGTGGGGAGGACGGCCTTGGGTATGAGTGAAAGGATGGGATCTTTTGACAACCACAGAGGGAGCACCTAAATGCAGGAGGAATCCAAGTAGATGTGGCAGATCAGACCGGAAGTAAGAGCTCATGCAGGGGCAGAGGTCAAGGTAGGGTCAGTCCCGAGGTGGCAGGTCCAGGGGTGTGGCTGCCCCTCCAAGTGGGAACAGGAGAAGTAAGGTCCACCAGGGCTTGTGACTCGCAGATGCCAGGCAGAAGTTAACTGCTGTTCTTCAAACCCTTCTCTCGGTGCTTTTAAAGACTGTTGGAAGGAAGCTGGGACGCTGTGCTTACAGGATTGGTTGAAAACTCTCTTTGGAATTGAATGTAACTACCGTATCCCCCACTTTCTCATGCAGAACAGAGAACAACGGTGCAGGGGCAGGTTTACTTCCTGCACACGCAGACTGGAGTTAGCACGTGGCACGACCCCAGGATACCCAGGTAAGTTTCCTAAAATTCTCACCATCAAGGCCCTTTTCCAGCAGTTGCCTGGACCCCCCACCCCAGACTGTGGGTGATAGAGCCCCTGTGGTGTGAAGATGTGAACTTGGAAGAGCAGCAGCACAAACAGAGGGACCTGTGACAGGGGTGCTGGACTCAGACTCTCTGGGCGACCGTCCCAGCTCTGATGCCCGCACCCCCCCCGCCCCGCCCCTGACTCTCCAGCTGGTAGATCAGCAGCTGCTGTAATGCAAGGGGGCCCTTTAGAAAGCAATCCTGGATCTTGAAATTAGATCATGTAACTGCAAAAGACCCTCAGCCCTAGATTAAATCAAATGCACTTACTTAAAAAACCGATAAACCCTAAAGATGTGTTGCTCTCATTCTAAACTAAAAATATTGCTGAGCGAAATGATATGATGTCTGATGTGATGCTTTAAATAATCGGGGTGGGGAAGCCAATAGGGGAGCATTGGAAACAGGTTGGCGATAAGCTGGTAATTGTTAGAGTTGGTTATTCACTATGGTCTCTCTCTATTTTTTTTATATCCTTAAAATTTTCCATAATGAAAAGCTAAAAAGGAAATATAAAGACTCTATTACCCTCTCTTCTACTTTACTCTTCCTATTGCCTCAGTCCCTTGGGGACTATTCCTGGGGGAGATGAAGCTTTTCTATACCAATTCCTTCTACAAGGCCATACATCTGAGCCCAGGTCAAAGAGACCCCTGCCCCACCCCCACCCCGTAATGGAGTTAAGTTTCTTTTTTTCTCTTTGCTTTGCTTTCCTTTTTTCTTTAAACAAATTTTTCTTTTGTTTCAGAATAGCGTTACTTCCTAATACCATTTTTAGTAATGCTCATTACCTTTTTATTCATGATTTGTTTCATCTGAGAACAAGCTTCCTGTCTTTGATTTTCCAAATCTATGTTGAATTTACAATTCAGTATCTGTAATTAGAATGGAAATATTACCTGCAAATGAATGAGGTGTCTCTTTAGTACTCACTGGAAGGAATGTCAGGCTTTGGTCCTGATTAGAAAAGCATCTTGGTCAGTAATGCTGTGCTCCCAGATGACTGTGGAGTATACTGAAATAATGAATCAAGAGGTTAGAATTAGAAAGTCTTGCTTATTAACAAAGCCAACTCAAAAAGGAGTTGGCCTCTTCCCGGTGCAGATGTCTAGAATTGGAAGATTTCGAATGCATGTTCACACGTCCCCATCAGCTTGAAAAAACGTGTACTGTTTGGGAGCTTTTCCATGCAGAAACCTTTCTGACCTTGAGCATTTAATTGTGAATCCAGAGAGTTTTCCAGCAGCCTTCAGATACTTCCTACTATTCTGGCCCTCTTTCGTGGAAGGAATGGTACTCCCCGGGCAGACCACATTCCCTATCATGGTCACAGGCTCTGAGGGTTGCGGCTTATCTGCGGGACTGTGCTGCTACTTGCGGCACAGAGGCCTGGGCTCAGTGCAAGTCTGGCGTAAGTAGCGCCGCGACTGTCCCTCTTAGCAGGACCGGGACACGGCCCCTGGATAAGGGGATGCCCCGGGTTCTCTCACGGAAGTTTTGGTCTTAGGCCTCCACACACAGATGGACAAACCTCTCTGTATCTTCCATTTTGGTAGAGACCTTAACAGCGTGAACTGTGATGAACTTGGACCACTGCCACCCGGTTGGGAAGTCCGAAGTACAGTTTCCGGGAGAATATATTTTGTAGATCATAATAACCGAACAACCCAGTTTACAGACCCAAGGTTACACCACATCATGAAGTAAGACTTTTACCAAATCTTTGTTGACCTCGTTAAAATTTCATGTTTTCTACTAACTTTTTCTTCATTTCTTGATTGCATTGTTGGTTAGCAGAGAATAAGCGTAAGCAAAATATGATAAATACTTGGTGGACAATTGCGTTTTAAACCCTCAAGCCGCTGTGAGCGGTCCTGAAGTCCTATGTTGTTGTCACCCTGTTCTAGCTTGCAGCCTAAATAAAATCCCCTGAGCTGGCAGTGTGGGGCAGCTTCACTCACGAAGCTTCCGTGGGCAGCACTCTGATGGGATACATGGCCTTAGAGAAGCAGTGAAGTGGGGCTTTCCTTGGTGCCCACCCGCTCACCGCTGTCTGGGAGGGCTGGTCCAGAGCACTGCTTGCTGGAACCTCTTCCCGGGCCATCATTCCCGGGGGCTGTGGACCTGGGTATGACCTTGGCTCCCACACTCCACGTTCCAGGTTTGCTGTGTCCTCAGAACATGAGAGCCCACGGGGCACTTGTCATTGACAGCTGATCCAACCGGCAAAACTTGAACAGGACAGATGCTACTGTGTCCAGAAGGTCTGGACTTCTGCCTTTGATGAGTGGGCTTGGAGACCTCTCGGTTATGAGTGGGAGTAGTTACCACTGCATCTCACTTGTTTGCTCCTGTGCATTTTGCCCCCCTCCACGGTCATCTGCTTTGAAAGTTCTCTCGTCAACTGCATTTAACTCTCACCCCCAAGGCACATCTAATGGCGCGTTGGTCAGGCTCACAGATACGCACTAGATGCACGATGAATGCTAGCAGTTTCTGTTTTTACTTATGGCAATGATAATGTATGAGATACGGAGATGGGGGGTCTCCTTGACTGAATCCTAGACATCTACTTAGCCTGAGGGTGGCCACCAGCAGTTTTTCCATAAGAAATTTTGACTAGCAGTTCGGTGAAATGACTTCCCCTCTCAGTCCCTTTTGTGGGGGTGCACTGCTGGCAGCAACCTTGGCCGCCGCTCTTGGGGTGACCTCGATGCTTCTGTTCTTCTCCAGTCACCAGTGCCAACTAAAGGAGCCCAGCCAGCCGCTGCCACTGCCCAGTGAGGGCTCCGTGGAAGACGAGGAGCTTCCCGCCCAGAGATATGAGAGAGATTTAGTCCAGAAACTGAAGGTCCTCAGACACGAGCTCTCGCTTCAGCAACCCCAAGCTGGTCACTGCCGCATCGAAGTATCCAGAGAGGAAATATTTGAGGTACGGGGTTCGGGCACAGAAATCTTCCTCCCTGTCAGTAGACAGTGAGTTCTGCTTTCTGTCTGGTGTTTCGGAGGTTGATTTTATCGCTCAGTGAAATGCAGTTCCCTCTCTCTGAAATGAAATGCAGAACGAGGGAACTGTATTCCCTCCTGTGGTAAAGGTTTAAAAATCAATGACTTCTGAGTGAAAAGGTAGAGATCTGTACAGAAACTAGTACTAAATAATATTGTAAATCCCTGTGCGCGCGTTGTACAGATTCTACTTCCTGCCATCCGCACGGTTTCCTAGAATCAAGCATTCCTTCTGCTGCAGCCTTGCATGCGATTTCCCCTCGTGGCGTTGCCTCCTCAGAGAAGCTAAGTGGCCTCCCTGTTGTCCCTTCTGGAAGGAGGAAGAACTGATGGTTCCAGGCAGGGTTCTGGCCTTGGTCCAGCTCCCCTGCGGGATCAGGGTCCCTAAACAGGCAGGGCCTTTGGTAGGCAGGGCCCGTTTCTCGGGCCCACGATCATGAGTAGAATCTCAGCTGTGTCTGGGCCTTTGTGGAATCCTTGGCAGAAATGATCAAACGAGACACAGATTCTCACTGGGCCACAGCAGCTGAGGGGGCCGCGGAGGGACGGAGGCTTGGGCACAGCCCGATGAGTGGATCAGCTGAAGTGCCTGATTTTGCCCACTGAGCATCGTAAATGTCTGTCGGGGATAGAGAAGAGCTGAATTCTCGAGGTGCTGCTGCCAGATCGTTTCCACTCAGCATCCTCTTGCCTCTTGGGATCCAGCTTTTGAATTACATTAAATTTGAAGCAAGAAAAGATCCTTAAGTGCCTTTTCACTGAAAATACCTACAGACATTTAGCTGGTTCCACTCCAGATGCTGAATCTGAGGGACTATTAGGCTGACCGCATGTTTTCTGTGTCTGGTAAGCTGCTTTATGTCTTACTTAAACTCTCCTTGTTTTTTCTTGACTCCGTGGGAAAGTGTGATTTTTGACTTCAGTTGTAAAATCAGGCTCAGAATTCTTTCAGTATTCAGACTCTCTTGTGATGTCTTCATTTTGGTTAAAATATATCAATTATTTATAGGACACATTGGAATTAATTTGTGCAGAGAAAATCAGCCCTAGCGAGGATGTTCAACTCTTAAGTCATGATTGTGCTGAGAATAAATGTGTGTTTCCTTTAGGTACAGTATTACCTGCCATGTGCTTTGCTGTTTCCGAGGGAGAAAAAGTGAAGGAAGCAGCAATGTCCTAGATGCCAACTAAACATTCTCAATAGGAACCAGACGAAAATCAGATTCAAAGGCTTACAAATAAGCTCAGATGCTTATTTGTAATTGAGCTCCATTATAAATAACCTTTCATCATTTTATAACTTTAAAAATAAGATGAGCTCTTCTCTCTGAAACTGTAATTTTGATGTGCAGGAGTCTTATCGCCAGATAATGAAGATGCGACCAAAAGACTTGAAAAAGCGACTGATGGTGAAATTCCGAGGAGAAGAAGGTTTGGACTATGGCGGGGTGGCGAGGTGAGAGGCTCGTGTACCCCCCTCCCTGCTGCGTGGATTTGAGCGCACCTGTGAGCAAATATTTGCAGAGAAGTCGTTTGCCCCTTTCTGGTGCTGGTCTTGGAGCAGTCAGGACTTCAGGTGTTGCCATCAGAGAGCGTTCTTAGAAAAAGAATTCCTAAGAGCGCGTGCCACGCTAGCATCTTGCCATGACCCATCAGAACGCGCGTGCGCTTCACCATCACTTTCCTTCTTAGAAAGTATGAATTATTAAACTTCTACCCTTACTCCCTTCTCCATATGGCCCGACTGAACCCGAAGTTAATACGGAGGCAGCCTTGCTGCTTCTCTCACTAGAGGACTTTCAGGGGTGGGAGGAAGGCATATACGTTGCATTTGTGTCAAACAAGTTTTGTAAAATGAGATTTTGGTCAAAATAGTTCATGCAAATGATTTTAAAGATAGTAGCTTTTCATGATTATATTCTGTTTCCTGTCTTACCTCTTTTCACCTTTGAGACAACTGTACTTCTGCTCTTTTAACTGTTTCTTCTAATATAACCAACCATCTAGATCACCAACTCGATCAAGTTCTGATGTTATCTACTGATTTCATGATGTATGGTCATAGGCACAGATAGACCAGGTAATGGTTGTGGTGAGGATCTAATTTAATACTCCTCAGTTTTGTAATATCAGTATTTTTAGTTCTATCATTGTCTTTGTAATTTTATATAATGTATTTTCACCATTATTTTTTCATGGTCAGCTAGAGACATTATCTCTTGACCTCTCTTTTTCATACGAAAAGGATATTAATACTCCTGACTTTCCCTTCAGCATTCCAGCATTCCTTCCACCTCTTACCTCTTACATTCTGTCATCTGTAGTATCACTTGTATATTATCAAGGTTGAAGATTTACATTTTGTTCTGTCACCAAAATTAAGTTAGTCTCCTGTGCTTGTCTACCTATTATTTACAGGAGTTGAAAAATCAGTACATTGTTTTATATTATTATGACAATGTAAATATTGTTCATTGAGGGATTAAGTGGTATTCTATCATTTAGTTTATCCTTTTGAACAAATTTTAATTTTCCCAAGAATTTCTTCTTCTTCTTTTCTTAAAACCAGGTCTTGTCTCTGTTGCCCCATTAAACTTCACCTTTGGCCATCCTCACCCACCCGCTTTGCTCCATGTATCTCTCTTGTGGAGACTCTGTCCAGACTGACTGTTGATTCTCTGGACCCGCTGCCGTTGTCTTCATGGGACTTCACTGCTTTCTTGGCTTAGAGCCATTGCTGTACGGGTCCTATGGCTTCCTCTTTCTTGGCTTCCTCCATTATGTTGCTGGAATACATCCTCAAGTAGCTTTCTCAGAAGGGGTGTGTGTGTGGGGGAGGGGGATTTTCCAAGATCTTGAGTCTGAAAATGTCTTATAATCTACAGTTTGACTGGTAGTTTAGCCCTTTATAGGCTTCTAGAAGGAAAACAGTTCTCATTCAGAACTCTGAAGACACTGCTCCGCTGCTTCTCAGCACCCAGGGTCACTGTCAGAGAACAGTGTGGCTTTGGGCACCTCTAATTCATTTGACCCCATCCATGGCCACCCATCATCCACAGGTTCCACCACCTTTCTTCTGTTTTTCACGCCCCTCCTGTCTTCACTTCCTCCTTACCCGTAATCCACCATCATAATCGCTCCCTTATGCCCCCTCATAACTTCCTTGCCTCTCTTTCCGTTTGCTGTGCTTACCTGGCAAAACCCCAGCTCTGAAGATCCCCTCCTCAGGCTGCTCTGAGCATTGCCTGAGCGGCTGAATGTGGCTGGAGGCGAACACACTTCCATGCCGCTGGCCTTTCTCTGCATCGATAGCCACCGGCCGCAAGGAGGGTTCAGCACCTACTTCAGTTCCCCCGTGGTTCTCTTTCTCAGATCTCTGGCGTCACTTCCGCCCATCCTCACTCTCAGCTGCTGACTTTTCTTCCTATTTAACTGAGGAAACAGAAGCAATCTGAAGGGTCTTTCCTCACCGTCACCACCAGATATCGAGTCTGCTGTTGTCTGTACTCGTACGGTCAGACTTCCCCGCCGTGGCCCTGCATGGCGCATGCATGTCCCTGTATAAGAGCAATCCTGCCCCTGGCACAGTGCATCCCAGGCCCTTGTGCTTTTCCTGTTATTTCACATCTATTTCTTTTCATCAAAATGTCCCTTTCTCTTGGGTCATACAAATGTGCTACGGCAACTCCCCTTCTTAAAAGAAACAAACATGCCCCCCCCCCCCCCGCCAAACCTTTCCTAGATACTATATCCCCTTCCTGTTGAAGCTACAATAAAGGAGGCAATAAAGGCAAAGGAAAAAGAAAAACAATTAGAAACTCCAGGAAAGACAGAGATGCGTTCAAGAATGCATAGCTCAGTCATCGCCCTGTTCCTCCGTTCTCTTTGTAGCAAAACCCCTCAAAAGAGCTGTGTGATCCCAATTCCCGCTTCCACATCCTCGCTTTCTCTTGAACACATTCTGAGCAGATCTCTCTGCCCTCTGAGCCCTTTGTGTCGAGGCCCCCGCCTGACCTGCGTCTCACCAAACCCAGTGATGACGACTCAGTCTTGGTCTGTCAGCAGGACTCGTTGTAGTTGGTGGCCCCCTGCTTCTCGAAACACCTTTGCCACTTGGTTTCCAGGGCACCTGGTTTCCCTCTAATCTCCCTCTCAGGCTCCTCTGCCGTGCGTCCCCCTCCTCCTTCCCACTGGACATTGTGGGCATCCGAGCGTAGCCCTGGAGCCTCCTGGCCGCCCCTCCTCGCCCCTCCTTCAGCTCCAGACTTGTTTGCCAGTTGCCTCTCATCTGTGCTTGGGTATTTAGCCCCTTAAACCTAACAGTTCAACACTTCGGGTTGCCCCTCCCCCCAACTGCTCCCTGTTCTTTCCCGCCTCACTGAACCGCCCACCCAGTCCCTGTGGCTCAGATGCGGGTGGTCCTCACAGCCTCCCTCTGTGCTGCATGCCCCCCCTCCCCGCCAGAGCCAGTGCACCCTCGGGCCCTCAGAGGGAGTGTTTTCTGTATTTATTCATTAACCAGTAAGCATTGAGATGCCACCGCAGACTGGGTACTTGGGATACAATGTGGGCAAAGCAACGTGTCCCCTGCCCCCCTCCCCCCCCCCCCCCCCCCCCCCCCCCCCCCCCCGTGCAAAGGAGTCCTCAACCTGACGAGGTCCAGACATTAATCATAACATTGCACAAGTGACCACACCGCTGGTAGATGCTGCCAAGGGCCCTCGTTCCTGTGCGGACGTGTGATAGTGGCCCGGCCTTGGGGGCCAGGGGACAGGAGAGCCTCGTACCCTCACAACTTAGAAAACACAAGTGGATTCTCAGCGCTGCAGCAGTCAGCACCAGCAAAATCAGGTTCTGAGAAGCATTCTAGGGGGTCTCATCAGGTTTCTGGGTGGAATTGGGATTTTTTTCAGCAGCCAAAAGTAAATAATTACAAAAGCCACGATGCGCCCTTGGGCCCCAGAACAGAATCATTCCTCCAGCCTCTTCCCATCGCTGTGCTCCTCAGGTGATCTTGACTCCGTCTGGGATGAGGGATGCAGAAAATCCCGGCCTTCCTGATAGCGCGCTTGCACTGGTACTGCCTCTCCATGGGAAATGCTTTTCCTTTCCAGGTTGTTCCAAGTTTCTTCCTTGATCTTCTCAATATTGATTCTAGGAACCATCTTTCTTCTGGCGAATGTAACTTCTGTTTGCCCTTGAAAACACGAATTCCGTTTCCTGACTAGGGGTTTAGGCTTTCCGTCCCCCTTTTCAGGGAGACTCTTCCTACTTCCTCATTCATATTTGTTCTAAATTCAAATCAAACTACTTCCATTTTATCTTCTCTACCTTTTCCTTTTTAGTCTCGAGATATCTCAAGAGTCAGTATCCTGAACTGTCTTACTTTATGGTTGCTCCCGTGCACAGCTGGGGTTATAGGTTCCTAGGCGCGCACATGAATAGCTGCGTTAGGTTTGGTCTGGTTAGGAGTTCGGTGTCCTCTGCATTTCCCATGGTTATCAAGTCTTTGTGTAGCTCCTTTGATTAACATGATGCTACAGAGGGAAGAGCTGAGAAGCCCTGCTTTTCTGCCTCCAGTCTGATCTCACATTGTTTCAGCTGAGTCTTCCTCGTGTCTGAGTGGCTCACACCTGTCGTGTAGGGCTGAGGAGAGATGTCAGTTACATGTGTGTTACACATACGTGTGTGTCTGTGTCCCTTATGTTGGTCGATGGGAATCAGTCTATGCTCATCTCCTCAGTGTTTGGCTCTGAACCTTTTCCTGTCTCTCCCTCTTCTGCCTGTGTAGTTAGCTCTTCCCTGACCACTTCCAGAACATACCTCGTGCTCTGTACCTTGTCCACAGCTCGGTCAGGATGTTTGCTTGTATTTTAATCACTTCCTGTCTAGACAGTGGCAGGTCCTTGGCATTTATGAAAACAATTCTTCGTAAATCCAAACTCCAAAACTTGGGGATGAATCAAAGCACCAGAGTTGGGAAATTCTGCCTTCCTAGTAAAGAGGCTTCCTAAGATTTGGTGTCTGTCTCATCTCTTCTGGTAGTTCCTTCCTGTTCTTTTGAGTTGGATACACAGCTTTGTGTTGGTGTAATCATTTTGTGTGTATTTTCACAATTTTCTCGGACAGATGCTTTGCATTTGTGCTTATTATCCTTTTCGTATTTTCTCAATTCTGTCTTTTCTGTTTGAAGGAGTAAGAAATTCCAGAGTAAAACTTGGGGCAGCTATCTTAATAAGATTCGTCCATTTAAAGGAGTTTTGAGTAGAAAGAATAACAGGCTACACAGTGTTGTACAGACCCCCACACCCGGGCTTATCCCAGTCTGGCCGCAGCCGCTGAGTCATACGGGGTCTGCTAAGTGCTCTTTTTGTTTGATTGGTTTTGATTTGGGGCTTTTTTATAATGAAATAATTCAAACATAAAGGAATTCAGAAAATAATCCATTTTATGTACCCTATCCAGATTTTTAAACTCTTAGAATTAACATTTTAAGATGTTAAACTAGTCCTTTAAATTATAAAAGTGATAACGCTTATGGCAAAAAATAAGAATTCAACAGGACAGAAAATTATGAGGGCAAAAGTCGTTCTTAAATAATCCCTGTCTCCCTAGACTGGGAAATGTTTTCTCCTTATTTAAACATTAATAACATGATACCATCAGAAATCTAAAAACTAGAAAGAAGTGAAAAAAAATTGAAACGCCCAGAATGCAAATTCTCAGTTAGCTACTGTCAACATGTTAGTATAAATTCTTCCCATCTTCCTTTATGCTCTGCATATATATTTTTTCTGTTTCGTGTATGTGCACACGCATTTTTGACAGCTTTCTGTTGCACTTTTTTTGGTTTTTACCACGTTGTTAACATCATCACCTGAGTTCTTGATCTCTGCAAAGTAGCAGAGAAAACCTTAGTTGGGGTGCAAGAAAGCTGACAGACTGTGGAGCACACTGTGCCTCTGAGCTGGTACTGATTCCAGGCAACCACAGTTCTTTCTCAGCTTCAGAGTTACTGGACTTTTGGCCAGAAAATCCATTTCTGACACCACCAGAAGCAATTTTTTTTACTTCATTAAGCTTATTTGCCCAATCGGCACAAGTCACATCCTCTCAGAGCCAGGCAGCCTTACCAGTTGGGCTTTCTAGGACACGGTGAATCAGTCCTTTCGTTAAGATCGGAAACAAGGGAGTTTTAAAATGTCTTGTTGTTGTTGTTTCTAGGGAGTGGCTTTACTTATTGTGCCATGAGATGTTGAATCCGTATTATGGACTCTTCCAGTATTCCACGGACAACATTTACATGTTGCAAATCAATCCCGATTCTTCCATCAACCCTGTAAGTATTAATGACTAAAGAGGTCGGAGACTTAGTTGGAGAATTTCTTAAATGGATTTCCAGTTTCAATCTCAATTCTTGGTTGACTCATTGTAGACTTACTCAAAGTCTATGGTAAATAAACATTGCAAGGTAGAGTGAGAACTGGATTAAGATGGATGGTTTCAATCCCGTATCTTCAGTGACTGGTATCAGTGAGTATGTCGTGTCAGGGGAACTCTGGCTTGACGGCTGTATTTGTTGATGGTGTCATTCTGAGAAGTGGGTTACGAGGTACATCCTCCTCCCAGTCGAAATGGGAATATTCCCAAAATTGGCCTTTTTGGCCACCGGTGCTGATGCTCTTAGCTGCTTGTCAGAGAGATGAGGAAATAGGCGGTGTGTGTGTGTAACTGGTCCGAGGGTGGCCAGCGGGTAAGAGGAGGGCTGTGACGTGGGGCCGCGTCCTGCACGTGGTCCCTGACGAGCAGTCGATGTGACAGGACCTTTTACCAACATGGGAGCTAACTCTCTGAGTATAATTCCAACCTAAAAGTAGAAACAGGAGGTTCCCTGGTTACGAACCAGAACAGCGCTGGTTTTAAAATGGTTCTCTTACTTGGGTTGTTCACAGTTATTTTCCTCTGTGTCCCTGCCTCAACTCCCTTGGGATTTTTTCTCTTCTCCTTTTTTGTGGGATGGGGGAGGGATGGCAGAGGAAGAAGGGGGATTACCTTTTGCCCTTTATTTCCTCGTGGTGCAGTGGGAGGGAGGGGCCGGCGGCAACCTGTGCCAGCACCGGGCCCTGTGTTGAGAAGGGACCAGGGTTGGTTGATCCTCTGCCGTCACCATGTTGATATTCTCAACTTTTGAATAAGGGGTTCTGCATTTTCATTTTGCACTGGGTCCCACAAATTAGGTAGCAATTCTGAGAAGGTGTTTGAACCAAGGGCATAATATAAGGTATCCTTCAGATGACCTCCCCAAAAGTCATGTGCTACATTTGACCTCCTACGTAGCCGTCTTTCATCTGGTCATGAGTGCAGCCCGTGAGTAACTGATTCAAGAAACCTGGAGAAAGTACAAGATACCCATCTGCCTTGGCCGTCATTTTTCTCACGAATTCATGTTCTCTGGTGCCCCCTACAGGACCACTTGTCTTATTTCCATTTTGTGGGTCGGATCATGGGTCTGGCTGTGTTCCATGGACACTACATAAACGGGGGTTTCACAGTTCCCTTCTACAAGCAGCTGCTGGGGAAACCCATCCAGCTTTCTGACTTGGAGTCGGTGGACCCGGAACTTCATAAGAGCCTAGTGTGGATTCTGTAAGTACCGACTCAGTTAACTGAAAATGCATCGATCGTCACCCGTCTTAGCGTGCCCCAAATCCATCTGTGTTGTGTAGCGTGCACGTGGGTGTGTATTTGGGGGATGGGTGTGAAATCGGAGAATAGAAAAACTATCAGAAACATAAAAGTAGATTCAACAACAACACTTAACTGACATTTTCCGCGTAACGTCTGCCCAGTTTCTCATCATATGGACTCGTTTCTTTTGCTGTTTCCTTGACTTAAGTTATGATTGTGACTGTTAATCCCCAGGCCTGGTGGTTGGTTGGTTTGTGACACTCTGGGGTGTCTCCAGCCAAGGAGGTATCCAAAATCACCCTAATATTTAGGTGCCTTTGTTTTAGGATTACCCTAAAACTCTCTTAAAAGCAACAGGTACAGTTACATGGTCACCGTAGGTGTCGGGGGGTCCTCGTGAGGACCGATTTCACGGGAATGAGAGGTCCAGGCTCTGGGACCGGGGGACAAGCCGAGGACTCGATCGTGTCCTGTGTTCTGTCCACCTCCTTCCACGTGTCCCAGCTTGAAAGGCAGGTCTGCGGGGGGCCAGGGCCTTCATCCTATAGAGAACCTCCCAGTCTGTGTTTCCAGAACCATGGCAGATGAAGGAGCCAGTTCTGACTTTCAAGTGCTTCCTTGGACTGAGGCCCTTGGAAGGCTGCCTGGAGAAGGCGGCACCGTGTTTTCTTGGCGAGGCTTCCCTTTGACTCAGTTGCCCCTTCACGCTTCCCTCCTGTCCGCTCAGAGACTCAGGGTACAAAGCAGTCGGCTGGCTCTGTTCCGGGAAGTCACAGGGCGGTGTCACTACTGTCACCCCTCTTCTGCAAAGGAGGAGCCGGTCCCTCTTCCTACCGATTGTTGATTCAATGTTCCATGTGCTCCCGCGCGGTGGCCGAGGCCTAAGTGACATCCATCTTCTGTCCTAACTTCCCAGAGAGAACGACATCACCCCCGTGCTGGACCACACGTTCTGTGTGGAGCACAACGCTTTCGGGAGGATTCTTCAGCATGAACTGAAACCCAACGGCAGGAATGTCCCTGTCACAGAGGAGAACAAGAAAGAATACGTCCGGTAGGTAATGCTCTGGGGCACCTGGGGGTTACCGCTGGGACTGGCGGGGCCTGGGACTGTCCTGGGCACGGGGGGGGCATGTTTAGGTCGTCGGAGCGCTTGGACCAGAGTCATGGTAGCGGCAGAGACTTCCAGAAGCCGGCGGGGTCAGCGGTGGGCTCCAGGGTTGACCCGTTAAAGGGGGATTCATGACCCAGAGCCCAAGGGGTAGCTTTCCAGTGACTGCCTGATTGTGGGTGTGAAGGTGGTATAGCCACAGGAGGGAGGAGTAGGCCTCCCTCAAGTTTGGGGCAAGCTTCCTTGAGCTTGGTGTGATGGAAGTCCACCTCTTTATAGTCTGTTTTCCCACCTCTTGAGGCAAATAAATGACTAGTGACTTCCATGGGAAATTTAGACACATGGGCATGTCTGTGCTCAGGCTGTCAGACTGGTGTGTAGTTCTCACTGTGCCCTGTATTTTCTTTCCAAACATATTTTTAAATTATGGCACCTGTAACAGGTCAGGTTCCATCCTACTGCTATTTCAAGCAAAGAATCAGAACATCTGATTTAGTTTTAACCTGACTCTTAGGCTGGGTACTGCCCGCCAGTGGGGTTTTCCTCCCCATTAGGGGAGGATGGTGGGCAGTGATCAGCGGATATCAGAACCAACTAATGGAGAAAAAAACGACGTTCACGAGCCATTTGATACTGCTTCCGACGTGTGAATTTTTCTTTCAGGTTATATGTAAATTGGAGGTTTATGAGGGGTATCGAGGCCCAGTTCCTGGCTCTTCAGAAGGGGTTTAATGAACTCATCCCTCAACACTTACTGAAGCCTTTTGACCAGAAGGAGCTGGAGGTGCGTGAGCGCCGGGGGAGCCGGGCCGCGTGACGGGCGCTCCTCGGCTGCTCGATCCCCGCAGGCCCAGGGGCCGCCGGGGCTGCAGGAGAGCAGAGGCAGGGCTGGGGGCGGAGCGGGGGGTCGGGGAGGCCTGAGCAGTTGATGCCAAGGCCTGGTGCCCGCCTGGCGGCAGGGAATCCGGGTAACTCTTCCGACATCCTGCAGGGCGTTGTGCGGCTTGTCCTATTGGGTTGGCAAGCTCCCCGGCAGCACAGCTTCCTAAGCCCCTCCTGTGGGGTCACCTCAGATGGAGGAGGTTATCATGACCCGCTGCTTTGTTTGATTCTGGCTGTTACTAGGCCCAGAACCAAGTATTACTGTCGTTTCTGGTCCCTCTTCGTGGGCGTGAACAAAGCCATTCCCGCGCACCCCATCTGCTTCTGGTGCCAAGTAGCCCTTGCCTTTCAGGCTGTTCCCGGCCTTTCTGGCCCCAGGGCGGTGCCAGAGCTCTGGGCCCCGAGGTGCCTCCCCGGGGGGAGCGATGGCTCCGGAGCGGGTCGCAGCAACAAGCACGTCCCTGACCTGTTCCCTCCTCAGACTTCAAGCCCCACGCGTCCCCGGAAGGCGGCCCCACTTTACAGGTGGCCCCGTGCAGCTGTTGTGGCTGGTCCTTCGGTCCTCCGTCCTCCCCAGTGCAGTGCACACACACGCACACGCACACACGCACGCGCTGCTAAGGAAACGTCACATGAGTAGCCACACCAGCGTCCTTGAGGTGGCAGCCGGCCCGGAGGTGCAGACACAGAGCGTGGGCCTCAGGCCCGCTGTGTACGTGTCTGTCGACTTGTCTGAACGCGTGTCCGGTTTGTCGGGACGTGGTTTGTAACGCTCTCCGTGTCCTGGGAGCTGGGCACCCGTCGGTTTGTACGTCAGGGAGGTGACCTGCCTTCACGCCCTCACAGCTGATCATCGGTGGCCTGGACAAGATCGACCTGGACGACTGGAAGTCCAACACGCGGCTGAAGCACTGCGGGGCCGACAGCAACGTGGTCCGGTGGTTTTGGCAGGCGGTGGAGACCTTCGACGAGGAGAGGAGGGCCCGGCTGCTGCAGTTCGTGACGGGCTCCACGCGGGTCCCCCTCCAGGGCTTCAAGGCGCTGCAAGGTGACTGACGTGGTGGTGGGGCTAGTGCTGGGCCGGGGCGCGGGCTGTGGCGGGCGGTCGTCCTGGGGCGTCACCAGGAGACGACATGGCCTCGGGTCCTTCATGACAGACACTCGGCGCTGCAGGGGTGTTGCCTGGCCAAGGGGCTGGAGAGACCCTCTTCCCTCCACACGAGCCATGGCCTTCCGGTTGCCCTTCTCTCTGCTGCCCCCAGGGCTCGAGGCTCTACTATCCTTTGCCCAAGGTGAAAGAAAACATCTGGAAAGATGTAGGAGGGCATGTCCATCACACAGAGCCCCGCCCACCTCAGACCACCTTTCCCAGGGCCTCTGAGCCACGTGACACAGCAGTGGTGGGTGCCGGCCGGCTGGTGCCCACACAGGGCTGGGTCTGGAAAGACCTGAGCCAGGAAGGCCCAGGGGAGCCGGGGCCTCCGCTTCCCTCCCTCAACAGAATTGGTGACAGAGAGGGGGTACAAAGAGCAAGACTTTGGGGAAAGAAAGCCATTTAAAAATGCACCATGGGTTAATTTTTGAACTTTCTGACAGCAGCTCTCTAACTGCAGTCCTGAGTCTCTAAGAGCACACTGCTGCCGTGTGGGTCACAGCTCCAGGGGTCCTCCCGGGCCCTTGGTTTCCTCATCTGTACAAGGGGCCTGCCTGAGAGGCTCCCCTGTCCAGTTAGGTCCCCGTCCTCTCATGCATCCCTTGCGGCTCTGGCTGGGTCTCTGGCTCACCTGGGTCTGGAGCTGGGGGCTGGAGGAGGAGGGGGTGGGAGGCTGTCCACAACGAGGCTTCTGAGCCTCTGGAGGGGCTCGTGGTCAGCACAGCCAACTGGGAAAGTCCTTGAAGGCCTCTTTAGGGCTCTGTGATTTGTAAAATTAGGGGGTTTTGTCACTTGATAACCCTGACAACCGGCAGGAGTAAGGTGAAGAATCTTAATGTATTAAAACTTAGTGGGAGCAGATAGATTTCACGTGTACGTTCCCTGTAGACGACTCCTCCCTCTTGGAGTGAGAGAAGTTACTTCTCGTCCTAGGGCTTTGGTCCCAGCCTTTGTGTCTTTCTTTTGCCACTGGGCCTCTGCCTGGGGAGGTTTCCTGACTCCATATCCTGCTTGCTAGACATTTCTGTTAAAAAAAAAAAATACTGGCGATTGAAAGATTTTGCTTTCAGATGAGCGCCCTGGAGCAGGCTCATGGTCGGGTGAGAGGAGAGCGGTCCCCGCCTTTGCTCTGCCTTGCTCCTGTGATTTTCTAAAATGTCTGGTGTTAGTCACTTAATGGTCATGGTAGGTGCATCCTGAAAGCGGGCAGAGGCTCGTGTGGCCGTGTGAGCCCCGTGACCTTCTGGCAGGACGGCCGCCTGGCACCAGGGCCTCGGGGTGGCGACAAGGGCCCAGCCTCGGCCTCTGAAGCGTGTTAACTAGAATGCTGTCTTGTAAGGCTCTACAGGCGCCGCAGGGCCGCGGCTGTTCACCATCCACCTGATCGACGCGAACACAGACAACCTGCCCAAGGCCCACACCTGGTAAGGACCAGCGCCCTGGGAGCCTGTCTCCGTGCGTGACTTTTCTGAGCTGTTTTCTTACTTGGACTCTGCAGTGGACAGCACGCACGTGAGGGTCAGCACGAGGCTCTTTCGTGAACCCAGTTTTGTCTGGAGACGTGACTGACGTTGGAGCCGCTCCCCGGCCCCAGTCGTCACCTCGCTGGGTCCTGCCGCACGTGTACGTGTGTGTGTGTGTGTGTGCGCGCGCGCGCACACATGTGCAGTGTCAGGAGGGAACACTGCAGTTTTAAGTTTGGAGCTATTGGTCTCCTCTCAGAACTCTGCGTATGACAGATGCACCTTGTGTATTGAAAAATGTTTCCTCCCTTGATTTTCACTTAAACAACACCCGTAGTGGGTTATTTCCTTTGTGGTTTAAAATCAAATCACTTACATGCACTTTGGGAGCCATTTCTTGAGACGAGAGCCACCTCTGGTTCACGAGAGTCAGTTCCAAATGTTGCCGGGATGCATGGTGATGTGATGGGAGGTTCTTGGTTGGGAACCAAGGCTGTGGGTTCCCACGCCGTCCATGACATCCAACTGGGTTTCCATGTCCTTGAGATAGAGGACGCGCCCTCCCCGGGCCCAGGGTCTGCGCCCAGGATGGCCGTCCCGGGGTGGCGCATGCTAACGCACAGGGCTGCTCCCGCGCCAGCAGGCTGTGTTCTCTAATGGTTTAGTGCTTTGAGTAAAACGGACGTGAAGAACGTCCAGTGCTAAGCCCCCTGAGAAGCCTCCACACCGTTTAGCCCGACTCCTTCTTGACAAAAGCCATCCTCAACCACTTAACCTCTAGTAATTCAGGAGGCACTCTGTCCTCTCAGTCAGAATCTTGCAGTTTTTGATTTGTTATGAGGTAATATCGTCTACAAAGGTGTCTTCTGGGCATAGCTTTGGGAATGAACTTCCCTGAGGAAATGCTAACCCGGTCGTTTAATCCTCTATCAGGGATTTGACGTTTTATTATTTTTGAGATACAGTTTCTGTTTTTGCAGGAAATACTCCAGACTGCCCCGTTTTGCTCTCAGATCTAAGTCACAGGGGATTAGATCCACAGGCAGTGAATTGTTAGTGGTGATTTGACTGCAGCCAGCCTGGGCTGCAGTGCTCTGCAAACGTGGTGTTCCTGGTCTGAGAAATAACTTCTCCCCAAAACAACAGTAAAAACAAGTTGAGAGCTTTGTCCTAATCTAAGCAGTACATACTCACTTGGAAGATCTTATAAGATTTGTTTTGCTGTGTGTTGACTGACTGAAAATCTTTGCCTAAGAAGCAGAAAAGCACCAGAGGAGAGGGGAAAACTCTCCTCCATCTCCCAGAACCAGGTGGATGAGATGCTTTCCCGTCCTCTCTGCCCTGTCCCCACCATGTGTGTGCTTGTGGCCGCAAAGGCTCTGCTGTGGCCTGGCCCTGACCCTGTCCTGGGAGCAGGTCCTCAGGCCAGGCGGCACCAGCAGTGAGTCTCTCACCTTTCTGTCCCGTTCCAGCTTTAACCGGATCGACATTCCACCCTACGAGTCATATGAGAAGCTCTATGAGAAGCTGCTGACAGCAGTGGAGGAGACCTGTGGGTTTGCTGTGGAGTGAAGTGCAGCCCAAGGCAGCAGATGCTAGCTCTCGGCCACCAGACCCCAAGCGATGCTCTCTGTGTGCCTCCGCGAAGCCGGCTGAGGCCCTGGAATCCTAGAACACCCGAGGGAAAGGCTTGTCTCCCCTGCTTCTCGTTGGGGGAGCAAAGGGGGCGGGGGGACTTCAGTTGGTGGCTCTCACCCATATTTTCCTCCTGACAGAACCCCCCCACCCCTTCCATCACCCATCCAATAAAACGCAGCCAGGTTTAGCACTGCTTCGGTCACACAGGATATTCTGCTACGGTTGTAACGCTTCTGGTGACAGGCTCACTGCCCTGTGGGCTTTAGAGGAGTCTTGACTCACAGTTATGGAGCTGAGCGGGGCTGCCTGAGGGTTCGGCCCTGGTAGCTGGACTAGCTCTTCTGTCTCCAAGCAGACCTGAGGTTTTCAAGTTCAGCAGCTCAAATTCCAAATTTCACATCCTAGCAGCCTGCTCTGGGTAGCAGATTAATTTCTACCTGAACAATAACCGTATAATATATGCTTATTGGAATTCTGCCACTGCAGGAAGCTGGCATCAAAACTGTGCTTCCCTTTTGGAAAGGTAAGGGAATCGGGGCAGCTTGTGCTGGAGGCCTGGGTATTTATTTCTTTTCAGGGTTTCCTGGCTGAAAAATCTGTTTTGCATAAAGAAAAATGATCTTTCCTTTTAAGAGTCCCTTTAGCCACGTTATCTATCCAGTTTGAAATATTTTCCCAGCGAAAACACCACATAACAGAGCTTATAAACAAGCAGCCCAAACCCAGCTTCAGATGCTCGCAGCCAGGTGCAGGCTGTGGCTGCTGCCCCCACCTGTACTTGGAAGGGCGTCGACTGGGCCACGTGCATGCTAACAAACCATTTTGTGGAAAGCACTAAACTAATAGAACAAAATTCCATCATTGTAGCTGCTGGCTTGGTGCAAACCAGCTTGAAAGGGAGAGAGAGAACGGATAACCCTCCATGACCTAAATCCACCCCAGGTTACTCGTTTACAAGAAGTAGGTCGTGGATGGAAACCTGAAGGCAGAGAGGGGCCACTCCACCGTGACACGTTCAGCCCACTTCCCCAACGTCTGATGGTGACACTAACAACTGCTGCTCCATTCACTTGTCCAGATATGAGCAAGGCCAAAGCAAGCCTTGACCCTAGGTTTCTACCAGCATTTTCCAATTTGCACAGAAGATCAAAAAGTATTTTAACAAAGTGGTTTGATTTCAGATAAAGTTCAGCAGAAAAACAGCAGTGGCGGCAAGTTCTCCCGTATGGTGGTGGTTTTTGTTTGGGGGGCGAGTGCAGGGTAATTCATTAGCAAGACCTTTCACTGTTGAAGTTTTGTTGTAAGGTTCCGAGTTCAGTGCTGGGATCCAGCTGCGGGTCTGAGGTGGGTTTGGAAGGAGCTTTCTGGCCGACTGTCCCGTCTGTTCTTTCTGTTCCTAACGCCTGTGGACGGTGCTAGGTTTGGAGGCGCACTTACTTACCCCCTGCACCTTGCTGTGGTTCTTCGGCTCGACCGGGAAGCAGCCAGTGGTCTGACGTTTGGCGGGCCGGAGTTCGCTGGCTGGAGGTTCCAGGAGCGAGAGAAAGCCGTGCTTCTGGGTGACTTGCTGAGGTTCTAGAATAGGAAGGATGCCTTGGCTGCAGAAGGAGAATGTAATCCGTTCAGAACGTCCAGGATGGACTGCGGGCTGAGTCTCTCCGAAGTCCCGCCTTGCTTGTTGGGCTTCTCCTGTGTCTCGTTTACCGTGACACCTTCTGGCGTCCTGGAAGCTGGCTGCCGTGGGTCCTCCTCTGGAGGAATGAGGAAATGAATGATACAGACAGACCCCCACCACCACCACTCTCACCCGCCAGACAGGTCTCCTCTGTAACACGGACCTAAACCGCAAGGAGGAGACTGCCTTCCGGGAACTGAGGCCCTCGAGACTGAGGGGGGAAGGCCCACCCAGTTATCCTGTGGTGTCGGCCAAAATCCGCAGGAAGTTAGGAAGGAAACAAGGGTCTAGTGGTTGGAAAGACTTGGAAGCAGGAGTGTGCCATTTGCCTCCTTTAAAGCTGCCTTCCTGCTGATGGCGGGTGCTGGGGGTGGGATGGGTAGTGCCCCTGCCGGCCCCAGGCCACCCTCACGTGTCAGGTGTCACCTCGGCAAGCTCCAGAGGCTCACGTCCTGGCTCCTCCACGGGCTGCTGGGGAAAGTCGACTTACCTGCCCGCAAGGCCTGGGTCTCCGCTTTCGTACTGGGACGCGGGCGCCTCACCAGCTGCGTGGGTTGTTGTGGAGCCTGGCACAGCAGAACCTTCCGGAGCCCCAGGTCACTCCTGCCAAACAGGGCTGTCGGTGGCACTGCTCCTAGAACCGTAACTGTCCACAGTGGGTTGGGCCTTTGGAACACTCCCCACCCCCCGACCACTCCCACCAAAGAATAGTGTGGCAAGCCGTGGGTTTTGGGGTCTGCGGGAGCCTCCCCATCTGTCGCCCTTCTCGGGAACCCCAGCGACCCACCTGGTCCCCTCAGCTCTCTGCCCAGATGCTTCAGGGCCCGACTTCCAGGCTTGCCTCACCAGCGGTCATCAGCCGACCCTCAGGGATGTAGCAAACCACCGCTCTGCCAGTGCTGTGGGGAGAACGGAGGGGCCCCGGGGTGACAGTGGGTGGAGCTCTCCTGACTCCCGCAGGGAGAAGCGCCTGGAACTGCGGCCCCAGAGCTTGCCGGGCCGCGTGGTCCAAATGCAGGTCAGGTGGTCCTCCGATCGGAGCTGTCCGAGAAAACGCCCCTCTGCCCCCGTCCGCAGCCAGGTGTGTGCTGCACGGCAGCCTTCCCAAAACATAGTATGAATTTTAAAAATTTGTTTATTTTTGTTTCTCAACCACTTTATAATGTATTTTTTAATTTATTTTGTAATGTCTTGTTTTTAAGTATTGCTGCTATCCTTGTTATCCTTCCCACTGTTTTTATTGCTGATTTATTTTGTGAAAGTTGTACACTAAATGTTCTGTTTTATGTCAAAATCAAAAGTATTTAAAGAAATACTAGTTCTATTTAATGTGGTTATAGAACCAGCTGGAAACACAAAACAAACAGTGATTGTACAGCAGGATGGACCCCGGCGGTCAGGTTCATTTTGTTACATATGCAATAAACTCACAACTTTACGTTTCTGGCGCCTGTTATTTGGTGTGGAACAGCTGTTTTTTTTTTTTTTTTTTTTTTTTTACATCCCATAAGACAGGAAGTCAGCGGTCTGGCAAGGGTCTTCTAAAGAAAAGGGGCAAACTTACAGTCAGAATTGTAGGAGAGATTGATAACACTTTGGAAAACAGTGGAGGGTCCTCAAAAAACTAAAAATAGAGCAATCCCACTCCTGGGCATATACCTGAAGAAAAGCAAAAACACCAATTTGAAAAGATACATGCACCCCCATGTTCATAGCAGCATTATTTACAATAGCCAAGATATGGAAGCGACCTAACTGTCCACCAGCAGACGAATGGATAAAGAAGATGTGGTACATATATATATAAAATATACATATATATAATGGAATACTGCTCAGCCATAAAAAACCAAACTTTTGTGCCATAACTGCCGAGCCTGTGCCCCACAACTACTGAAGCCCTCATGCCTAGAGCCCATGCTCCGCAACAAGAGAAGCCACCGCAATGAGACGCCCGCGCACTGCAACGAAGAGGAGACCCCACTCGCCACAACTAGAGAAAGCCTGCACACAGCAACGAAGACCCAATGCAGCCAAAAATAAAATTAAAAAATAAAAAAGAATGCATAGTCTAGTGCAAAAGTAATAATGATGTATTGTGGAGTTAATATCATATGTAGAAATAAAACATGTAACAACAGCACCAAGGATGAGGGGTAGAAATGGAAGTCTACAGTTGTAAGATTCTTACATTATAGGTGAAATAGAATATTTGAAGGTAGACAGGTAGGTTCAAGATGAATATAGTAACTAGATAATTCACTAAAAAGAATACATGTTATGCAAAAATATAAAAAAGAATAACATAACTAGGTTGTGTTGCACACAACTGTTTTATCATATTACAATTATGAGGCATAGGGGTAAAAACAGTCCTGAATTTTATTTGGTGGTGTTTTATTTAAGCTTTTTTATCTATACATATACATGATATAGGCCCACACTTTTTTTGGGGGGGACTCTTCATTAGATTTTGGAATTAAATATAAGCTACAGGTGAAAAATACCTTACACTATTTTAGTGATAAGGAATCTCCTATAGCCATGAGATGTTTAGACTAGTATTTCCCAAACTTTTCTGTTTTATAGACCAGTAAAATATACTTACCAGATAAAAATCATCTGTATCACCAACATTTCATTTTAAAAGGACATTTAACATCAAAACTTTTCACAATGAAAGACTATTGTTTTGGTTGTCTTTTATGAAGACCTCACTTTGGTGCACTGATTTTTCTAATGATGGGTGAAAACTTCAGCACCAGCTCACAGTGGCTCATAATCCAGTGTTCGTTACCCGTGGTTCTGACCTTCTCCTCTCCCCTCCATCCCAGTTAGCTGGTTCATTAGCCAGAGGTGGCCCAGGTGCCCATCGAAATACTCCCTGGTCCCTCCTGAAGTATCCACCACCTGTGCAGACTGTCTCCTGGTTCGCTCCTGTCTTTTTCCATGTTTCTCAAGTCCCACCTTTTCCTCAAGACCCAACTTACATCTTTTATTCTGTCCCCCCCGTCATGATCCTCTTTTTAAGTGAAGCATTTCAGGGAGCTCTTACTTGGTTCTTATCATTCCTTCAAGAAACTAGACCGGGGCTTCCCTGGTGGCGCAGGGTTGAGAGTCTGCCTGCCGATGCAGGGGTTCGTGCCCCGGTCCGGGAAGATCCCACATGCCACGGAGCGGCTAGGCCCGTGAGCCATGGCCGCTGAGCCTGCGCGTCCGGAGCCTGTGCTCCGCAACGGGCGAGGCCACAACAGTGAGAGGCCCGCGTACCGCAAAAAAAAAAGAAACTAGACTGAAGCTTATCTTTTCATACTTTTTACCACGTTCATCCAACAACTAAAATGGTTTTTTTCCAAAGAAAATTTTTGCCAACACTATTTTAAAATAAATGGTTTGCTTCCTGATTAAAAACAAACCAAAAAACTGCTAACACTAAAAAATGAATTTAGCAAAGTTGCAAGATAGAAAATCAACAAACAAAAACCAACTGTTTCTGTAATGCTAACAATGAACAATCTGAAAAAGAAATTAAGAAAACAATTCCATTTATAGTAGCATCAAAAAGAATAAAATAGGAATAAACTTAACCAAGGAAATAAAAGACTTGTACACTGAAACTATAAAACTATAGGGGCTTCCGTGGTGGCGCAGTGGTTGAGAATCTGCCTGCTAATGCAGGGGACACGGGTTCAAGCCCTGGTGTGGGAGAATCCCACATGCTGCGAAGCAACTAGGCCCGTGAGCCACAACTACTGAGCCTGTGCGTCTGCAGCCTGTGCTCTGCAATAGGAGAGGCCGTGATAGTGAGAGGCCTGCGCACCATGATGAAGAGTGGACCCCGCTTGCCACAACTAGAGAAAACCCTCGCACAGAAACAAAGACCCAACACAGCAAAAATTAAATAAATAAATAATAATAAAAAATTTTTTTTTTAAAAAACCTGTAAAGTGAAAGAAAGGAGACACAAATAAATGGAAAGACACTCTGGGATCATGAGTAAGAAGACTTACTAATGTTAAGACATCATTACCACCCAAAATGATCTACAGATTCAAACACAAACCTATATAAAAATCCCAACAACGCTTTTGCAGAAAGAGAAAAATCCACCCTAAAACTCACATGGAATGACAGCGGTCCCCAACTGGCCAAGACAATCTTAAAAAGAACAATTTGGTGGGTAGTCTCACACTTCCTGATTTCAAAATTTACTGCAAAGCTACAGTAATAAACATGGTATGATGCTGCCAAAAAGGCAGACATACAGACCAACGGAATAGAATAGATAACCCAGAAATAAACCCTCATATGTGGCCAAATGACTTTTGACAAGGGTGCCGAGATTACTCAATGGGAAAGGACAGTCTTTCAACAAATGTTGCTTGGAAAACCAGACATCCACATGCGAAAGAATGAAGCTTACCTCACACCATGTATAAAAATTAACTCAAAATGGATCAAAGACATAAATGTAAGAACTAAAACTATAAAACTCTTAGCAGAAACACTTTGTAAAGCTTCATGACATTGGATTTGGCAATGATTCCTTGGATATGAAAAGAGAAAGCACAGGCAACAAAAGAAAAACTAGATAAATTGAACTTAAGAAACATTTAAAACTTGGGCAAGAAAGGACCCTACCAACAGAATGAAAGGGCAACCCAAAGAGTGGGAGAAAATATCTGTTAAGTCATGTATCTGATAAGAGCTTAATATCCAGAATATATAAAGAACTCCTACAACTTAAAAAAAACAATGAACAATGGATATGAATTTCTCCAAATAAGATACAAATGGTCAACAAGCTCATGAAAATATGCTCACCACCACTAATAATGAGGGAAATGCAAACCAGTCCCACAATGAGACAGATACTGCTTCACACCCATTAGGATGGTTCTTATAAAAAAAAAAAAAAGGGTTTTTGTTTTTTTTTTTTAAATCAGAAAACAAGTGTTGGCAAGGATGTGGAGAAATTGGAACGCTTGTGCACTGCTGGTGGGGATGTAAAATGGTGCAGTCACTCTGGAAATCTATATGGAGGTTCTTCAAAAAATTAAAAATACAACTACCTTATGAAATCCAGAAATTCCACTTCTGTATATATTCCCCAAAGAATTGAAAGTTGGGAGCTGAACAGGTATTTCGACTCCCCCCAAAACAGCCACGTTCATTCCAGCATTATTCACAATAGCCGAACGATGAAAGCAATCCAAGTGCCCATCAATGGATGAATGGGTAAAGAAAATGTGATATATATACACAATGCAACATTATTCAGCCTTAAAGAGGAAGGAAATTCTGTCACATGCTACAACATTATGCCAAGTGAAATAAGCCTGTCACCAAAGAACAAATATCCTGTGATTCTTATGTAAGATTACCAGAGTAGTCAAATTCATAGAGACAGAAAGGAGAGGGGTGTTTGCCTGCCGCTGCGGGGAGGAGGGGGAGACAGTGTTTAGTGGGAACAGAGTTTTTGTTTGGGATGATAAAAAAAAGTTCTGGAGAGAGATGGAAGGTGGTGATGGTTGCACGATGATGTGAATGTACTCAATGCCACTGCACCGTACACATAAAAATGGTTAAAATGGTAAATTCTGTTATGTAATATTTTACAGTTAAAAAGCAGTCTAATAATCGTACTAACTTCGAAACAGTGATTGGAGAATCAGAGGCACCCATGTGTGGTTCCCCACACCACCTCTTTCTCTGACCTTCTTTGGCTCCTGAGGACCCAGGTCCCAGCAGTGCCACATTTGGGGAAGAATGCAGAGGCTCCTGGTCACTGAAGCACTGGCTCAGGACTCCCAACTCCGACTCACAGGCAGCACTCAGGAGATGCTGGGTCTCCAGTGGGGAACTCTCTCCTGCCCTGGCTCTTCAGAGGCTGGTTTTCCTAGGAACCAGGGTCAGTGCCTGGGACACTGTGGGCGAGCCTGGCATGGGACCCAGGCCCTTCTCACCAGGATACCGACTCCAGACTCCCAACTATCGAGGCTAAGAAACAAATGTTCCCTTCACCCAACTGCCACCCACACATCTACACAACCACCAGGCTCCACGCCAACTCTCCAAGCGCACAAGGGCAACTCAGTGGCTTGTTTCAAATGAGTCCTGACCCCAGCTTGCGAGACCCTGTTACACAGTGAGGACTGTCAGACAGATGGGCGTCTTCCCCGTCCAGCCTGACGGCACGATGACACCTGTCATTTTAGATACAGGCTCCTGTCATTCTGCAATCCAAGATGCTTTCTCACAAAAACAGCCAAGTATTTGTAAAATAACTCATAATTAGCTCCAAAGAAAGAATGGGAGAGGGACTTCCCTGGTGGCGCAGCACTTAAGAATCCGCCTGCCAATGCAGGGGACATGGGTTCGAGCCCTGGTCTGGGAGGATCCCACATGCTGCGGAGCAACTAAGCCCGTGCGCCACAACTACT